AATGGCGGCAGCGGCCATGAGGGCGGAAGCGGCGCCGCGGCCGGGCTCCTAACCCCGCCGTCCTGCCGGCCCCGGGGAGCCGCCTGCCCGGCCCCGCGCCCTCGGAGCCCGGCCGCTGCCTGCCTGGCCCTCCCCGCCGGATGGAGCTCCCGGGCTGCGGCCCCCGCCCCGCCCGACGGCCAGGCGGCCGCTCCCCTCCCCGGCCCCGGGCCGTGCGCTCCCCGGACCGCGCTTCTGGCGCCGTGTGACGTGCAGCCCCGCGGGCTGATCCCGTCCCCCTCTGCGGGCCAGCCCCGCGGGCCTCTAGCCCCGCCGTGCCCGATAGAGCCACCCGCTTCACGGCTCTTGGCCCTAAGGGCGTGAAACCTTTCTGGCCCTGTGGGCGGCTCATTCCCATTGTCTGCTGTGGGATCGGCCCTTCTCTCTCCCGAGCAGGCTGGTGCCTGGGCACTTCCCTTCTAGAGCTCTCCTACTGTCCGTGCACAGGGGCTGCCCAGGGGTCCTGCTGGCGGCTAGAACAATGGTGGCTTGAGTTCAGTAGCGGGCCCTATACCAGCTTGTTTTGGAAAGGCGCTTCTGACCGCTTGTAGCAATTGTGCAGACGCTTGTGTGTGGCACCCTTTGCTCAGGTGGGCTCTAAAGGGCTTTACTGACTGTATATGCGAACCATAACTATATGCAGCATCCTAGTACCCAGCGCTAACGCATCTCTGGGCTGGAAGAGGGTGAATTAATGGAAATGATCCAGTCTTATACACTTCTGTAGGGCCGTGCATCTCATGCTTTTATTACATAACCTGCCCTCGACAATCCAGCATAATCTTAGTTTAGGCAGAGCTCTAATTACCACTATGTTCACAGGAACCTGCAGCAACTTGGAAGAATAATATTTAGTACCTATAGCTGGCTATAGCTCCTGAAGGATCATTCCATTTCATTGGTATCCACACAGTTCAGAATTGCATGTTACAGCTTATTTATGTAGCCTTTGAAGCTGTCTATTCAGAGCTTCCCAGTAAAATAATGGCTGCTAATACTACATTAAGATTTCAATAGTGCTTTATCTCAAAGCACTTTGCAAAAATCTGTATTCTCTATACCCATGAATTATTTCATCCATAACCGGAATGTACTCAGTTCTTTGCGAAATGTGGCCTAATCCTTACAGAATATCCCTCTGTGCCGGGCTCTTTCCGGTGCACATGCTCCCCAGCAGTGCAGAATAATCATTTTAAATACTTTGCCCTTCTGTAGTCCTTTCATCTGAGACCTCAGAGCCTTTTGTAAATGTTAATTAAGCTTCATGGAGGGGGTGTGAAAATATCATCGTTTCCTTCTAACAGATAGGGAAACTGAGGCTGAGTCATGCTGTGACTTGCCTAAAGTCACCTAGGAAGTCTAGCGGAGCTGGGAATAGAACCCAGTCACCTGAATCTGTTTTGTGCCCTGAACACTTCTTGCAATCGTGCATTTGACTGAGAGATCACTGCTCTACAAAATGCAACTGAGCCAGGATTTTTTGATGGAACACCTAGATTATTATAAATTTTACATTTCTCTGTCTCCCTTTTTCCTAAAGACCCCAAAATAGCCTACTAGCCTGCATAGACAGGAATCTCTTCTACATGTGAAATGAAAAGCAGTGGCAATTAAGTACAGAAAGTGAAGAGTAACTGCAGAGTAAATTATTAAAAACATTAAATTAAAATGATAGTAAATTAAATTGCAAGCTCCTTGAGGTGTAGTGGTCCTGTCATAACATAGTTGAGGAGCCCTGTGGCTTTGTCTGATGCTATATAAATAAAGTGTTTCCCTTTTTGACATATAATTCAGAAGTCAAACTGATCTGATAATGTTTTTCATTTCTCTAGTTCATTTCATTCTAGAATACCAGGGACACAATGGAAGGAAAATGGAATCCCTATTTTATTTATATAGCATCTGCCTCGAAGTACAAGATGCCTTCCAATTTAAAAAGAAATATTCAGGTGAAATGAGTGACCAAAATACCAGTTAGAAACTGCAGTTAGCTCCGACTGTCACTGTTTCTGTGCGGTAGCGTTTCAGATGTCCGACTACTGAACTAATATTTTGCATTTTTAATAGTGCTTAATCCCTAAGGATTCCGAAGTAGAGTATGATCCTGAAGTGAATTCTTGGTAGGTGGAACCCTGGGCCTCCACAGAGCCTCACTGAAGTCTTGGGGCACTGCACAGAGCTCATTGTGGGGTTGGGATCAGAACAGTAGTTGCTTGGTGAGCTTTATACATAGTGGTTATTTAATTCACCATTGAAATGCTGTTGTGCCAGGATTGGAACATGGCAGCTGTTAAAACAGTGCCTAGTAACTGCATAAGGGTTTAGGACAAAAAAGTAATAGAGCCATATCCTACTGAAATGGCAGATTAAGTTACTGCAGTATGAAACATGCAGTATTACTTCCCTCTGGGCCTGCAATTCTGATGCCAAATTAGTTTAATATGATAACTTGTTTGTCTGTAAAGTACTTAGTCCTGTAATAGATGTACCAGTGGGGAATAAGAGGAATGCTAGGGGACGAATCGGGTATGGCGGGGGCGGGGGGGAGTTTGCTAAATAGCCTGAGATCGTTTTTCGTTTTCTGACTTCTATTAAAGTTTCTGCAGTGCTTTAAGGAGGGGGAAAAAGTTTTTTCTTCATTGACTCTACCCTCAAATGTTCTTATTGAGGGATGAGCCCCGTAGCATAGGTTAGTATGCTTTGTATTAGGCGGTGATACTGTTAGAGCCATACTGGCAAATGATCAGGCTTCTATGTTAGTGACAGCAGTATAAATTCAGGGGGAACCATCTGTCTGTATTGTCTGAAGGTGTTTCAGGGATTGGAAGGGAAGGTGGAACTTGGTGAGTCTAAATGTTGTTCACAGAGTCTGAAAGTTAATTGTGCCCTGCACACACCCTCACAGCCGGATCTTGCGCATGTAGTGCATTTAATACAACAAGAAATGTCTGTAATCCTCAGCATTTCTGCAGCACATCACAAACACGAGTCCTCACAGCTACACTTGTAAGGTAGGTCCCCCAAAACCTCCCCCAAGCTACCTCATTATCCATCTTCAACCCTCCCCCTTATAGTCCCCTTTGCAGTGGTGCCTACAAAACACTTGGCAACAGTTAGGCTCCTGGTGCACTGAGACAACAGCCTCCAATGCTAACTAATATTGTCTCATTGTTTCCTGGTGTTCCCTCTCTGTGTGTATCCATCTCTTGTTTTATACTTGGATTTTAAGCTGCTTGGGGCAGAGATTATCTTCTTGTTCTGTTTTTGTATAGTGCACAGTGTCCATGACTAGGACTCCTAAGTGCTGAGGTAATGCAAATAACAACAACAGAGGCAGGTGATTGTTACCCCCATGTTACAGACCAGAAAAGCGAGGCAGAGGTTGTGATTTGTCAGAGTATCAGCCTGAGCTAGAACTCAGGAGTGCTGAGGTGATTTGTGTGTCAAATGTTATTTGGCAATAAGATTTTTGCAGACTTGCCCAACAGGTAACAGATTTCATTGCTGAAGGAACTGAGCAAGATCTGGAAGTTTAAAAAAGTTCTGAAAAATCAGTATTATTTAGGAGTCTTTGTATGTTTAAATAGCTGCAAGATGTGGATATCCCACGGAGGTGGACGAGTTGACCTTTTGTGGGAAGTTGCAGGAAAGATTGCATTAGAAGCGTGCATTCAAGTGAACAACAGAAGCTGGTACAGGCCATCTCTCATTGGAGCAGCAAAATAGTATTGCAGGTTTACAAACACAGTGCAAAACTAACTTTAGGGGCCTCTGCCTTGTGCTCCAAAGGAAAGATCTAATTGCACTGTGTCTACTCACTGTCTTTGAAGAGTTAGATTTCCCATCCCTTAGCACTGCCTCATGCTGAGAGGCTTTTCACTCGCTCCCACCCTCCTCCAGTACATTGGTTCCCCCTTGAGGGGACACAATTGATCTTGGTGAATAAAGTTTCAGATAAGATACTGATCACTTGTTTCTCTTGTTGAGGTTTCCTAGCCAAATATCTGCCTGCATGTATTATTTGTTCCTTCTTAGATTAGGGAAGTTCCACATGCTGCTAGTGAAGGGCCTGTTGCTCCAGAGGTAGAGTTGAGAGCCTTATTACCCCAGTGGTAAAGTATTAAGTTCCAAGTTACTTCTTTCAGAGGCTGGTAAATAACTGAAATCCTGCTTGGTGCTTTTGAATGTACCTGGCATTCCTTATTCATTTTGGTATGGTGAGATTGCACAAGGTGTTACTGTCACTGCTGGACTTTCCTTGCATTGGGGGTGTAGGGGTTTGCAATTTAATTTGGCTGTGATCTATTCCCTGTGCTGAACTGTGTCTGGACAGGAAGTCCTGAAATTCTTGTATAGCATTGCTGAGAGCGTCTCCCTAGGTGCAGTGCCCTACATCGGTCATGGGCGAAGTGATTGAATCCTGTGTAGAATTTTTGAAGGGTTTTGGAATCCCTCAGATGATATTTATAGCACTTTTCTTTCCGGCGTGTGTTGGATTATAGATGAAAAATTAATATTCCTAGAACAAGGTCACAGCCCAACTAAGCTGGGTTTGTGTTTGAAGATGCGAGCTCTGTCTATTTCAAACAAACAAACCAAGCCCACAAACCTGTTTAATGTTGGAAACATCTTGACTTGGGGAGTCGCTTCCCCACCTTTCTCTGGGATGAGAGGTGAGCTTGTGAGAGCAGAGGATGAACAGAGATTCAGTTGACGGTCTTGGGGCGTTGAGCTGTTTGTTTTGTGCACGTCCGGGTAGCATTGAGGTGCCTCTAAGCCATGTAGATGGAAGGATCGGTGTTGACGAATGCTAATTTATATTCCTCAGCCTCTTGCATTTGAGCAGTGGAATGTTAAAGGCGCCTCCTACCAGGGAGAAAAGTATTTCTGCTCCTAAGACTTAGTCGCTTAGATTTGGGGGGCAGGAGGGGATGGGAGGCAATCCTCCCTGTGGGAACAGCCCAGGGTATCTCAGCGTGGGTGCAATGTTGTTCCTTTCAGATATTGCATATTACGTGTTAGGGCTCCAGTAAATAGGAAAAGGTGGGTGTCCTTTTAGTTTGACATCTCTGGAAACGGAGTTGGTGTATAGTGGTTTTGGGGGTATAAACTTGACTTTGGTGTCCCACCCACTCAGTACCCAGAGTCTCGGTGCTGCCTTTTGTTTCCAGTTTCTAACAGTCTGTTCTCTCCTCTCCCCCACCCGCAGAGTTCTACCTTGTAAATACTGTTATTTGTATATACTGTAAATGATGACATCGGTGGGCACTAACCGAGCCCGGGGGAACTGGGAGCAGACACAGACACAGAGCCAGACACAGCACAAGCAGCGGCCACAGGTAAGGGAGTGTCCATGGAAACCAGTTGGCTTGGAGGTGGAGACCTGGCACCTTCAGCTGCTCCAAGCAGTTGACTAATAACTGGGCTTGGCCTAACACAGGGGTTCTCAACCTTTTTCTTTCAGAGTCGTCCCCCCCCCCCCCAATACTATAAAAACTCCAGGCCGCAGCAGGGATGGGGGGGCACTCAGGGCTGCTGGTTTCAGCCACCAGGGGTGTGTGTGGGTGTGGGTGTGGATGGGGGGGAGGGGGTTGAGGCTTTAGCCCTGTGAGACTTGGGGCTTCAGCCGTGGCTGGAGGGGGCTCCATGCTCTGGACTTCAGCCATGGGACAGGGCTGGGGCTTCAGCCGTGGGGTGGAGGGGCTCTGGGGGGGGCCCTCACGGCTTCTGCCTTGTGTGGGCACTGGGGCTCAGGGCTTTAGACCCGGAGGGAGTGCTGGCGCTTGGGGCTTCAGCCCCACTGGGGTGCCAGGGCTCAGGGCTCCCTGCAGTTCTGCTCCTGGTTTCAGCCCTTTGCCTTAGCCACCGGTCCGTATGGCCCCCTAAAACCAGCTCGCAGACCTCCAGAGGGATGCGGACGCCGGCTGAGAACCATTAGCCTAACATACCTCCTAGAACAGCTTCCTCTCTGCTGTTAAAGGCAGGTGGACAGCCTAACCAGGGGCTCTCTGACAGTGCGGTCACTGCTTCAGTGTGTCCAAGTGAGAGCCTGAGCTGGAACCTCTCTGCATTTTCCTGACTGTTCCCTCTCGCTGTAGGTAAACCCGGCTGGCTGATGTGCCACTTGCAGAGTTTGCTTTGAGGTTCTTGTTTCTGCCTGTACTGAGGGATCTGTCCTGGAAAGCTCGTTTATTGTGAGATCGTTGGCTCACACAGGTTCAATGGCATTTTGTTCTCCTCCAGACCTCGCCACCTGCTTCTCTTTCATCTTTATCTCCACTTTGAGACCTCCCACCTGTGTGCCCCTCTTCCCCCCACTCCCTACTAGTGTTCTCAAGGAAGCTGTAAGTGCTTAGAAGAGAGTTAGTTTGAAATGCACGGCTCTAACCCTCCTCCGTTATCATCCACAATCTCTCCAGGCCACTGCAGAACAGATTCGACTTGCACAGATGATTTCGGACCACAACGATGCTGACTTCGAGGAGAAGGTGAAACAAGTGAGTGGGGAGAACTCAGGGTTGAGCAATGTCTCTAGCCAGAGTGGAAGTTGGCAGCTCTGTTTTCAGGAGCTGAAGTGCCAGCTGTGTTGAGGCTGAGAACAACAATGGCAATTCTGAAATAAGCCGGAACAGGCTAGGGCTGGGGGGAAGCAGGTCAAAAGGACTGCTAACTCAGATACTTTTACCAGGCCAGGAAGTCTGCCCTTCATGGTCATCTTGTTCCTTCTGTTAAGAGCTTTCTGTGCAGTGGGGCAGACCCAGGGAGAGCTGCCCTTGGGATAATAAGGGGCCTCGGTCAGAGGAGGCAGATCCTAAAGCTTTTGTGTCCCACATGTGAGCTCCTGAGGTTGAGCCATCAGCCCTTCCGTTCTCTCTGCAGCATTATTGTGAGGGCCTTTGGCCGACACCTGGAGTCACTTTGGGCTTTGCGAGGCTCTGCCTCCACGCTGACTGGTGAGAGGTGACTTCTGAGATATGGGGGCACCCTCAGTCCTGCTTCTCTGGCCCCCCAGTGTATGTTCTGGGAGACACCGTTAAACTACGGGACAGCAAGGAGACATCCACGCCTGGACACTTCTTGGTAGCTCTTCTCTTCTGCAATTACAGGTTTTCTCTCCCCTCGAACCCAAGGCATTTCTTAGTTCTAAGGAGGTGTCAGTCCTCTCTGGGTTTGGAATGAGCTGATTGTGTCCTCTTCCTCCCCACAGCTGATTGATATCACGGGCAAGAACCAAGATGAGTGTGTGATTGCTCTGCACGACTGTAACGGGGATGTCAACAGAGCCATCAACGTGCTGCTGGAGGGGAATCCGGACACGGTAGGACAGGCTCCTTCGGCTTTGATTAGCAAAAAGGTGGTTGTGTGAAGCCTGGTTGGAGCTAGTGATCGCCAGGTAATACAGCTAAGGGCGCCTGAAGAGCACACGGGACGGGGTAGCTTGTAAAGGGCTGTCTGTACAGTGCCAGTCAGGAGGCCCCGACAGGTATCTGTAATGGGGGGCCGTGCCCTGGCTTGTTTAACGGCCTGTTTGTGCATGGGGGAACAGATCAAGGGTACAGTCATCTGACAGCCTTGTTTACAGTAACCTAGTAAACCTCTGTTTCTTTCTGTCTCCTGAACTATAACATCTTTGGCCCTGGGTTTTTACCCTGATCTTGGTGCAATCCCATGTCTCTCAGCTGACGCGTTCGGCCTTGCATGGGCTGTCCCTACTGTGGCATGCTAGGGTCCAGCACTGCTAGGTGCAGTGTGTCTGCTAGTTAGACTTGAGCTCCATGGTTCATATGAGTGCCACATTCTCTCATACTTCGTTAACCCTCAGAATGACCCTCTCAATAGGCATCTGTCCAAATAGCCTCCCGCCTAGCGCCAGGGAGTGTCCATCACCTCGATGGTAAAGGAACCCAAACATAGTTTCATCAGTTGTAACAGAATCAATCCGTGAGTAATGTCAAAGCTGTCAGGCCCTTCCAGACTGCAGCTGAAGGTCAGATCTTGCCTATGTGGGTACAGTGAGGTACTGTTGGTATTGGAAGGCTGATCTTAACCAGATTTCCTAGCCCTACTGGGTTTGAGACTCTCACTTTAGTGTGTGGTGCATTAGCTGGGTTTCTTTTAGTTAAAAGTCAAAAAAGGATGTTCTAATTACTGAACTGTATGTCCCTGCCATCTGTATTCTGCATAACATCTCTCCTTCCGATCAGTGGACTCCCACATGCTTTGGCATATACCGAGTTCTGTACTGTCCGTGTGGTGGATGCTTCCGTGCCTTCACAGAGCCATGTGGGTTTAAGGACCAGCCCTTTCTGCCCAGAAGCATGCAAAAACTGCCTGTCGGTTAGCTGTAAACTCATTTTAAAAATAACAGGAGTACATCTAACCTAGGCAAATCTTAGCTGTGATTCTGTGCTTCACCCAGAATCACTTCCAGGGCTTCTTCCAATAAAACTGACATGCCATTAAAATCTTAGCAGTTTAATTTCTTAAATGAACGAGTTGCTCATGAAAATAATGTTGTGGGTTATATCAAATCTGAAGGTATGCCCTATTTCCTTTACGTGGGCAGCTGAGGCACTCGGCAGTATGAGATGCCAGACACAGTCACTGCAGTAGCTTTGCAAAGGCAGGACCAGCGTTGGCAGGGTAAAACCCTCTCCGCGCCAGCCACTTCTTTAATCTGCAGTGCCATGAGGGGCTTGCAGGTTGCCACCTGCAGCAATCTGAGCAAAGTCTTCATCTGCACTGAAATTGGTGAAGACTTTCTGAGTCTCTCCTGGTCTGAGTTCAACTTCTGCTGAACAACTCAGTGAAAAGATGTTTGTTAGGATGATGCGCCATTGATAACGAGTGTCTCAAAGATGCCCTAACACTAGTGAGCTCACTTGCTTAATGGAGTAGTATTGGAACGTCTCACACTTCAGGGGCTAGAAGGGCAGACAGGATATTAGTTCTGAGTTTGTACAGCACAACTATAATAAAAAAAAAAATCAAAGTAAATATTATCCTGACTTCCTTCTGAGTCAGTTGCCTGTGAAGAGAGACTCCTCTGGTTTGAGGCCAGTGTGTGCCTAAAAGCTTTTTTGCCACTCTGTGTGTGTTGCCATCCAAGGCCAGCTGTTCATTAGTCAGCAAGTCATGTTTTCAGGTGTTTGTCGGTGACTTGTGACTCAGTGTTAATTGTGCTAACAGCGTACAGCATTGGTTCAATATGAATGTGAAACCATTTCATACTGGCATGAAATAAAACTGCCTTGGATGATTGGGATGAGGTGGTGATGTGTTGTTTAATTAAACTCAGAATGACTTGAGCATTCCTGTTTGTGGGGTTTTTGGTGCCTCTCGCAATACTCTCCTCCCTGGAACCAGACAGGTGTGTAGAGATGCCTGTGTGGTGGGAACAGCAGGTACCCTGGGAGTTTTTTGTAATTTCCAGAGTTAACATATTATGTGGACAGATACTGGGACTCAAGCAAGTGACACCTTTTTGGGTTGTCTTGCCAAAAAACACGGGCAGTCCCTTCCTCCCCTTACAGCAAAAATGTTACTCTTCAAATGACTGAGATAACGTAATGTTTTTCTGGCAATCCTTTAATTGGGTCCTCTCTGGGGTGAGTGACCCAGCGCAGATCTGTGCCCAAGATCCCTAGGTAATGAGCTGAGTGATCACTGGAACTTTAAAACAGTTTCTGTGGCTATTGAGGGCAAGTGAGAACCCTGTCTGGGGGGCTGTAGCCTGAGGGGTCTCAGGCAGCAGAGAAAAGTCAAATTGGCCAACGTGGGGAGTGACTTAAAAGAGATGATGGTTCTTTCTTCAGTTCCGGGGGCAGAGCTGTTTGGGTTATAAGAGCAAGCACAGCTCAAATCATTGATTGGCCTCTGCGATGGGCTAAAACAGAACAGCACCCCCCAGCCCTGTACAACTGCCTGCAAGTCATCAGGGGAGAGGCCTGTCTTGTCCATGCTGGGTCTGTTCTGAAGGCTCAGTCGAACATCACTTAAAACGAAAGACTGCAAACCGAGGAACCAGCATTCCTGGGCGGGTGAGTGTCTGAGCGAAAGCTGCCAGGGGCCTGTCAGCTCAGACAGTGGAGAGGAAGTTGACGGGCTGTGATGTGAAGCTTTGGATAAGTGCCTATCTCGGTTTATCGGCACAGGTTTCTGTCTTCCCTCATTATATTCTCTCCAGGATGTTAAATTATGCATGTAGCCTGCATCTAGTGTTGATTAAATGATGAACTTTTTCCCCTCTGCTAAACTTCAGCATTCCTGGGAAATGGTTGGGAAGAAGAAAGGAGTCTCGGGGCAGAAGGACAGCGGGCAGACAGAACCCAGTGAAGAAGGCAAAGAGAACCGGGACAGGGATCGGGATTACAGCCGGCGACGTGGCGGGCCACCGAGACGAGGCCGAGGCACCAGCCGTGGAAGAGAGTGTATGAGCCTGCCCTTTAATAGCAACTATAACTATCATGGTACATGGCAGGCACTTAAAGCGTTGTGCTGACATTCGTGTTAAAGCTCATAAGTCTAGAAAAATGACTACAAAAATCATCCTCTTGTATGTGTGCAGGGTCCCATCTGGTGCCGGCAGCCAATTCCCTGGCCCTTTGACATCTGAGTCCTGGGTTATGGATTCACGCCATAGCTGTCAAACGGCACTAACGGGAGCAAAACATGGTGCCATAGCATCTATAGCTCTGTGTCTGTTTTCCACGCCACCCCCACCACGTGCTCTAGGGTCTCCTTCCCCGAGTCCAAAAGGATGATGGAAGTTGTCCTAGTGTCATCTCTGTGTCTTTCAGTTCGGGGCCAGGAGAATGGACTGGATGGTGGTAAGAGTGGAGGCTCCTCTGGAAGAGGCACGGAGAGAGGGAGACGGGGCCGCGGACGAGGCAGAGGTACACAAAGGGGGGTTGTGTGCCGGGGTGGTGGGTCTGATGTAGCTATTTCCCACTGACTTCAAAAAGCTCTTCCGTAGAGAGGTCTTGAGGGGCTGAATAGAAGTCACGGGCAGTAAATATTTGTCGTCATCTATTCTTGTGTTAATGCTTAGCACCTACATATTGCTTTGTACCTGGTAAGCACAGTAGAGCCATTAACTAGTTCTCATACCCTACCCCTGAGGCTTAGTTAAATATTACCCCATTTTACAGGTGGGGGGGGGACTAAGACAAAGGTGGCTATTGTA